CTAATTAACTTAATAGCGCTTAATTTCTTCATTATATAGTGTACTTCAATTGAACGAGTAAATAGTCAAAGGAAAAAGAAAAAGAAAGAAGAAAAAAAGAAAAGAAAAGAAAAATAACTCATTTTTCCACCTTTGATGCAAATATTTGATGCTCAATATTTTCACTCATGAAATGCCTGAAGAAAACAGAAAAATTTCAGAGGGGCGTAGCCGGTTCCGCGGCGCCTGCTTCATTATATATATTTATATTATTTTGAGTGAAGAAAATATAATCTTATATCGCCGAAAAGATTGTGCCAAATAGTCTTTGATCCGTTTATCGATCGCAAAATCCAAGCAACTTGAAACGCGCGTCCTCGATGCCTGCACGCCAACCCACCGCGGCGACAACTTGTAAGACGTAAAGCGCGGTGGGATCGAATGCCAATCGACGCTGCAGGCCGTTTACCGGTGGGAAATAATCAGTCAGATACATAACGTACATTGCCTGTAACCTTGCACTTGCAACAATACTGCGCACCTCGTGCGCGGCGGCGCTTTGTCGCGTCTCAGTTTCGCGTTTTGTTTCTTCCGCACGGAACGTCGTATCGCTTGATGTCCACGAGAGACGGTATCTGCGAAACTTTATCGCGATATCGCCCCAATACCGTACACTATCGAATCAGAACAGTGGTTCTCTCATGTTCCGCGAAAACTACGTGTGTGCGCGTGTCTCATCTACGTAAACATTTCTGCCTCGAGGATTATTCCGTTTTCGGAGAAAAAAAAAATTCCGTTTATTGGTGCGAAAGTAGAAAACGGTTTAAGAGAGCAAGATTGAAATGTTTACATAAGAAAGAAATTGTGCTATATTTATTCACCTGGTCTACAAGTGTAAGGTACTGAATCTAGAAGTATAGATATTTTGAGGCGGTTAACATATTCCAAATAGACAGATACTGTAGCGGTGCGCGAGAATGAACCAAATATTTTTACCGCGTCTTCCATTGAGAATAATACTCGGAACATTCGACTGAACAATACTTGGACTTTGCAATGCGTGCGGATCGAAATTACAGCGTGAACATTTTCGTGCAAGTTGCAATTGTCGCGCTTCCGCGACATATAAACACGTAATCTAACTTTGCAAAGTTCTAACGGTATTTATCGCGCCGTTATATCACGACGATTTCAATCCGCTCTTTTTTCAGAACAAAGTTCGCTCGACGTGTCGACGTAAAATCATGTCGGACGCATCCGCGTGCATCCTATCATCTCTTTCTCTCGCGGTGTGTCTAGTCACATCACGCGTCGCGTATCCATAGTTTCGCGATATAAAAACTACCGGAGAGCCATTGGCGCCAGTCGTACATGCAATCGCGATGCCCCCCTCCCCATCCCCCCTTCGTATATTATCGTAAACGCGCAACCGCGAACTCGCGACATGCGGACGTACCTTTTCGAGACAAAAACGACGTTGGAGGCGAGGTTGTACCTCGTCGGCAGGATTCCGTTCGACTTCCGCGAGCTCGAATTCCAACGCGAAACCTCTTCTTTTCCGTCCTCTGTCGCGGGTGCCACGCGCCTCGTACGTTGCACCGCGATGAGTATGGCGAAACCGTTCGAATTTTACGATCCGAAGCGCGTCGACCGCGGTGCACAAAAAAAAAGAGAAACGTAGGCAGAGCGTCGACGCCTGTTGTTGGCGCGTCCTTGGCGCGGCACGTCGCGTCGTGGCGTACGTGGTGTTGCGTGACGCTTCCACCAGCTTCCGCGACAGACTGCCTGCCTGAAGCTGCACTACCTGATAACCGACACATTGACGAGACGCTTTTAAAGGCCGACACTCGCTTACGGTAGTCGCGCTGCTTAAAAAATTCGCCGCACGCCACGCTTGTTTTATATCGTGGCTGAATTGTGAAACTAGGAGCCGCATCACGGTCGATAAATTCATTATCACATTATTATTATTGGACGATAAATTTGATAGTTATTTCATCGACCACCGTATACATGCTGCTACTATTAATTTGCATTCTTATCAGTAGGGAACGTGCAGCTCGCTATTGTTTTCCTTTATATATTGAACGAAGAAGAAAGAGAGAAACAGAGAGGAAGGATTGTATATACATAACTCGAAGCGTGCTGTCAAAATAGTAAAAGGTCCTTAGAAATTGTGTGGCGACTTCTTTCCTGTCATGTAAGTGACAGTATACGTTAGTGATCACTCGTATACATTTCACTTTTGGAGTTGAGTGGAAACTGCGCAAATGAAGATTTTACGCGTTAAATTGATAACGTGAAATCGACAATATCATCTTTCTGTTCAGACTCACTGAACCTTAGTGTGACGTGAGTGTATAGAGATTCAATGATGCTTCGCGTATCATCATCAACAGCATAGTGAAGATTTATTTCTGAATTACGCAATTTAGTAAAACATTTTTATCCGAGTGTCGAATCACAGCGTCGAAGTTGAGGTCAGAAATGGAGCCGGCGGGGCAGAATCAACCACCTAACATCTCGAACAATATCAACGACAATTCCGACACACACAAAGGCAGGCAAGTGTCTTTTTTTATATCTTACTGATTTTTTGTTTTCTCCAAGTGTAAGAAATTGATAATGCTTCTCAAGAAGCTCACATGATTCAAAAATTTCATGACACATTGTTTGATTTATTTTTCATTATTACAGTTGCTTGTTACTGCGCTATGCTAGCCAGAATTCTCTAGATGAAAGCTCACAGAAACATATTCCTCGTGAAAATGGAAAGGACAAGCCACCGTACAGAAATCATCATCACACAAATCGTGCCTTTGATGTCATCAATGAAATGCGAAAGTATATCTATTTATTATGATATATCTTTGCTTATTTATCAAAATATTATCTATAGCATATATTTGTAAAAACAAATTTTGCTTATACATATAACATTTGTAAACAGGTATTAAGTTTATACCTAGCTAATTGTTGCATTATTATATCAGCAATGTGCAGGGAGCAAATGTGAATTTGAATAACATGATATTACTGTTTAGGAAAAATTTACTGTGTGATGTCATCCTGGTGGCAGACAGCGGTATGGAAGTGCCTGCTCACAAAATGGTCCTCGCGGCGTGTAGTCCTTACTTTTACGCTATGTTTACAAAATTCGAAGAGCGTGATCAAGAGAGAATAACGTTGCAAGGAGTGGATTATTCGGCATTAGAGTTATTGGTGGACTACGTATATTCTGCTGAAGTCCATGTTACGGAGGATAATGTACAGGTGCTCTTACCAGCCGCGAATTTATTACAACTGACGGATGTTCGAGATGCCTGTTGTGATTTTTTACAAGCTCAATTGCACCCATCTAATTGTCTCGGTATTAGAGCGTTTGCCGATCTGCATGGATGTCTCGAGTTGTTGTCACATGCAGATAGTTATATCGAGCAACATTTCTCGTGAGAAATATTTGAATCTTGATTTTGTTCATCAAACTGTATCAGCGATCGTAATTGTATTTTTAATACTGATTGTAGAGAAGTAGTTGATGCGGAGGAATTCTTAACACTGGCGCCTGAACAAGTGGCCAAGCTTATCTGCAGCGATCGCTTAATGGTACCTTCCGAAGAGAAAGTCTTTGAATGCGTAATTTCATGGGTGCATCACGATCTCGAGAAAAGACAAAACAACTTAGCTCTATTAATGGAGCATGTGCGCTTACCTCTGCTTTCGCAAGAATATTTAGTACAGCGTGTGGAAGAGGAACCACTTTTGAAAGCAAATTTGCAATGTAAGTTATTGCGATAATATTGTGCTAAGAAAAAGATGTATATTTTTTGTAATTTCCACAGGCAAAGACTTCTTGATCGAAGCTCTAAAATACCATTTACTGAAGGGTGAACAAAAATCGTTGTTTAAAACGCCACGTACCAAACCGAGACAACCAAGAGGATTGCCCAAAGTATTGCTCGTTGTCGGCGGCCAAGCTCCGAAGGCGATTAGGAGCGTGGAGTGCTTCGACTTCAAAGAGGAGAAGTGGTACCAAGTTTCCGAGCTGCCAACACGACGTTGTAGAGCTGGTAAATAATATCAATCGATCAATTAAACTCTAGCCAAATTGTTTTCTCGTTTTTCGCAAATACACTGAATCGCAAATTTCTGATTGTAGGACTTTGTGTGCTCGGTGGACGAGTATACGCTGTTGGCGGGTTCAACGGATCATTGAGAGTACGAACGGTTGATATTTATGACGCCGCTGCGGATCAATGGTCGCCCTGCCCCGAAATGGAAGCGAGAAGATCGACACTCGGTGTAGCAGTGCTCGGCAATTGCGTTTATGCTGTAAGATTACGCTTTCTAAATTTTTATATATCAAATTATATTTAAGATTCGGAAATTTTCAGTCAGAAAACACTATCTTTATTTCTTTATTACAACTGACATTTCATGTGCGTAGGTCGGTGGCTTTGATGGTTCGACGGGATTAAATTCAGCTGAAGTGTATGATCCACGCACTCGTGAATGGCGACCAATAGCGCGAATGTCAACACGACGTAGTAGCGTAGGAGTCGGTGTTGTCAAAGGATTACTTTACGCTGTAAGTTAATATTAAGTACCGTTGCTTGAAAAACCCCATTCGTCGGATATCTAATATAGAAAGACTGCAAATTAGGTTGGCGGCTACGATGGGGAATCTCGCCAATGCCTCTCCAGTGTCGAATGCTATAATCCAGAGAAAGATCAATGGAAACCCGTGCCTGAGATGTCTGCGCGTCGCAGTGGTGCGGGCGTTGGTGTCCTAGACGGTATTTTATATGCGGTAGGAGGTCACGATGGTCCGCTAGTTCGAAAAAGCGTGGAGGCGTTTAATCCAGAGACCAACCAATGGACTCCCGTCAGCGACATGGCGCTCTGCCGTCGTAACGCCGGTAAGTTGATGTCTTCCGACGTACTTTATTCCCTATTTTTAGTTACTACGATTTTTTCCCTCCTAAACCTAATATGGGTGTTACAACAAACAGGTGTTGTGGCGTTAAACGGACTTTTGTACGTGGTGGGCGGAGACGACGGTTCCTCCAGTCTGGCGTCCGTAGAAGTGTATTCTCCGAGAACCGATACCTGGACCACTCTGCCGACTTGCATGGGAGTCGGACGTAGTTACGCAGGTGTAGCAATCATCGACAAACCGATGGCCCCCGCGGCGACGATGTGAGGTCTACAATCCGCTGGGCATGCGACAGAACAGAACACGGACCCGGGTGCCGAGATATCGGATTCCTCGCGGGAAGCCGGGCCCAGCGGTGTGCAAAATCGCAGCGCGAGTCACAATTGTCAAGGCCCGCGTTGCGTTTGTCAGAGATACGAGAACGGTGAGTTAGCCGCGGTGATGATGAATCAAGGTAGAAATAATCCGGAAAGAGAGGACGGCTATCAAAACACCGGTCACGTGTCGCGCGCTTTTCAAAACCGTCCGAATAACAATGCGCTGCAGATTCATCCGAATCTGAATCCAAATTATCAAAATCCGGTTGATCTAATACGTAATTACAATCGTCGACTACAACAGCCGCAGCAGCAGCAACAACAACAGCAGCACGAACCAGAGGAAAATATATACGAACGTTTGGACAATGACGATGACGAGGATGATGACGAAAACGCAGAGATTCCTCGGAACGAATTGCTAGCGCAAAACAATCAAGGCAATGCGGATAATCACGCATACGAGAGAATTAACGGGAGGATATCGTGTAGCAATAAAGCGCATTGTCGTTATTACAAATATCACGGATTAAACAACGCTCATAGCTTCTTGAATGATATGGAAGGTGCCAGAAATGCGAGCCAATATGATCAACCGCGACATATCTATATCGACTATTCCCGACTGAATAGCAATCTTTACCGAAGCTCTTTGAGCAGATTAGGTCGTAATTGTTTTTCCACGGAAAATATCGCGTACGCATCTACAAAACGCTCTATCCAGCCATATGCATACAATTGCACGTGCCCGTATTGCAGGCACGCGGACGCAAGATACATCTGCCATCATTGTCAAAATCTGCATAACAGATTGCGATATCAGGACGCCGCCAATTCCCGACATTACGTCTACCAAGTCTCGAGAAATTGCAGATGTCCATTTTGTCGCGGTGAATATTCTTACGCAAAGTTACCCGCCAATGCCCTTCGTGCTGCTGAATTGTTAAAAATGGAATGTTGTCACTGTAGAAATCCCGCTAATTGCACTTGTCGCGGTAAAATGCCAACTGACTCGAATTCCGCGATTTACATCGGACGATACCTGGATTGGATCAATCGAACGGGACAGTCCGTCAATAATCCGCTGTACGCTACGATTCACGTTAGCAGAATAGACCGCGCTTCCATGCCCGGTCATGTAAATGCGTCGAACGGCGCCGATCCCGGGCCGTCAACCTCCAACGGTGCAACATCTAACGCAAGACACAGCGACTCGAATTCATCTTCAATGTTGCGATCGGTATTCGCTTCAACATCCGGTGCTTCCACGTCAAACGCCGCTGCGATCTGTCCGGTAAATCGATATGCAGAGCGTCAACACACTTGCGATGACTCTTGTATTCGCAGCCAAAGTGGAAATGTGGCTGGAATATGTCAGCTTCTCGGCAGATGCGAAAGAACGGAATGCAATCACGGGCGGCTCTCTGTACATTGGTGGTTCGTGAACAAATGGCTTCCTCTATGGAATTCTCATAATCTGGATAGAAACACGGATGGCGCGTCGTGTGTAGATGAAGTATCACGGGAACAGCGAGAGAGCGACAGCGATGACTCTTAGATCGAGGAATTCATTTATTGCCAGAGTACTCGTGCGTATTTCAAACTTTTAATACATCTTCCATTGATTTTCGCTATTCGCGAATGATTTATCGACTCGCACGTAGCGTGAATGACGCGTTGGATATATTTTAGGCTTGCCTATAAATGAAAAATGAATGATATAAGTTTTACTAAATACACATCATGACAATAAATTCATATCGCGATCTTGGACTATTGAAAGAATTTTATCAAGAAAAGATCAAGAGAGGTTTTTGGTTTGAAGCAATAACTATCTAAATTATCTTTAGACTGATAATTTTTTTTATTTTATCCTATACAAGGAGTATATCTGATTCCAATGTTGTAGATCTGATCTACAATGTTATTTGAAGGAAGACGCACACATAGCTCCCTATAAAATTACTCTATTGCCGTAGTGTATAGTATAATGCGTGATTAATTTGATTTTACAGAGACTACACACATTATTGACTAAACATGTTATAAATATTTATTTTTTTTCTAATAATTAATAACGATTGCTTGGATATCAATTAACATTAGTGTGAAAAGAGTACGACTGAAAAAAAAAACTGCAATTTTCACTTACGATAAGTTCAACTAAGTCAACTTTTTAACTGTGATATGAATTAAGTTAATAATTATTTAATTTACGTTTTAATCTTATAATATAAAGACTGCATCATAATATTAGATTCGCGTCGCATATGTTTCCGAAATTTTCAGCAGGTCTCTGTGAAGTAGAGGAAACGTAGTTTCTCCACCTTTAGCAAAAGAAGAGAAGAAGCAGAGATCTTTATAAGCAGAATTTTTATATAAAGTGTGTGACGTAAACAAAACTTATATTATTATCTCATAAACTTCACGTATCGAACAGAATAGTTACTCGTGTTTCTATTAATATAATACGATATAGATATTATCTCCCCATAATATTTTTGGTATATCCGTAATATTAAGGTATTTTTACATATAATCATTTAGCCTGAGTGAGTGTTCGCGTCATCTTTTACGATATTGTGCAAGCCCTTGAACAAAAATGCAACGCAATAATTTGCGCCAATAATTTGCGAATCGATCGGCTTCGCGTGTGGCGCCGAGATTCACGCCTTATGTTATGTATGTTCGTTAAATTATGCGTGCCTACGCGTATATGGCTATGTATAGCACTCTCATCCTCTATGAGGACAAGTAATATCTAATAATTGCATATCTACATGCTTTGTTACTCTGGGTTTCAGAAAGTTAAACAATGTTCGATACATGCATATGTATACATGTTATCTTTTCGATTGGGATGTGTTCGTAGCGTATATATTTAGCACATTATAATCATATCTCCGGAATAAAGAAAATTTTTAAAAAAGATTCACATATACGATGTTTGTCTAAGAGTTCATAGATCGATGAGTAGGTTTCTTTAGGTGAACAAATGCTATTATTGTAAATTGTCCCTTGTAGCCAATTTCTCGATTGTAACCAATCGAGAAATAGATCGACAGTCTCTTCCTATAAAAAATATATTACAACCTGTCCGTTCCTATATTGCAAATATTTCCGAACAAAAAATTACTCTCGTCGGATCCCGTATTTTGTTATGTCAACGATAATTAGTACTTAATGCATTTAATACATAATCATCACTGTACGAGAACTTTTTTGTTTATGTCCTCCAGGCTATCACCTTAATATCTCATAATACTATTAGCACTAATTGAGCACTCAGCTGAAGAGTAATAAATTAATTTACATATCAACAACGTGCGTTATGATGCACGATGCCTGTTAGATTCTTGAAACGTTAATTTCGCGCGTGCGATGTTTTTACCTTTTTTTTCTTTTTTTTTTTCTTTTTTTTTATTGCCAAAGAGAAAGAAAATAAGATTGAGCGTATTGTCGCAGGTGTAGTGATTTTATTAATGTGATTTGAAAACGTTAGAAGGACAGGATGTTTATCGGGACAGTCTAAAATTGATCGTAAGGGAGAATAATACGCTCTTGCGTAAGTGTCATTGACGTATTATGATCGATAGACGGAACGACACTCCAAGTATGTGGGCGTTGGCACCTCACGCGACTTGTCACCTTCGAATTCCATTTTATATTTCTCGACCTGACTTACTATTTCCATTAGAAATAAAATAACGAGCGTTTTTATCGTGACAATCGTTCGTCGACAGTGGCCAGTCGAGCTGTCGTCTTGCGGTCAACCGATGCGATTCGTCGTAGCGGGCTGACATAAAAGAACAAAGCGTTCGTACGTGATAATAACGAATTTATTGCGACCGTTACGCGTGCATAATCACGCGTGAATCATTGAATTGTCGCGCGAGACTGTGCCCCGCGCGAGAGTTGCGAAATTCCCGACCGTGCGGCGTGTGTGTCACGTGCGCCAATCATTTTTTTTCTCCTTTAACGTAGTCCTGGTTCCGGTTGGATTTCTTACGCGACGTTCTTACGCTTATTTAATTCTATAGAAATGGAATATAATAGGATGAATGTAAGATATCGAGTTCATGCAGAGAACACGGGAAAAACTTGCTGCCGATCGAACACAATCTTTCAATCCTTCGATTCTTTCATCCTCTAATTATTATTTCTACTTTTGTGCAAATCTAGAAAGAACTTAGCAGGTCTTTCCGTTTAATTGGCAAAATTTAAATAAATTTAAATAAATTTCGCTGATTTATTATTTTGATTATACTAACATCAATGATGAATAACAATTGAAACGTTTTAAAATTAAAAATTTGTATTGTTGCAGTTGTTAAGATTTTTCCCAAATCTCCGATCGGCATCGTGGTTAAAGAGAGATCCAATTTGGAATCAGAATCAATTTGGAATCACGTTTGCACATTACACGTAGAAAGGAGGCTGTGCGTAGCAATGTAGTACGGTACATTCGATCTCCTACAGAGAGGCTTCCTTCTCTCAAGGGTAAGGAAAGGTGTCGCAAGCCAGCGTTTGCACATGGTTCATTGTTGGTTGCACAACAATGAACTCTAACGAGGGTAAGCCTATCACGGGCCTATGCACGCCAGGCATTCGCTTCCCTTTCAGTCCTTTCTTCTTTAGCTTTGCCGACATGTATATGTTGTTAATATCGATTTACGGTCTTATTATCCAAAGATTCTCTCAAGCATGAAATTAGCGGATCCGATAATATTAACATCAATAAAATCAATATCTCTTTATTTATGCGCAATCCACACTTTTAGCATACCTCGTTACAAGCATTTTGCGCGTTCTCCGAAATTTGATCTGTCGATACCGTTAAAAATTTAATTTCCAGGCCACAAATCGACATTTTACAGTTTTTTATTTTGTTAAAAAATAATTTTTGTACACTGCCGCAGCGAGAATAACGCAGAGGCGACTTGTCTAAAGATGTCAAGATTACCATTACGCAATTGCACACATCAGAGGCAAATAGATGAACAGAAAAGTGTTAGTTGCGTAATTTCAAATAGAATCGAACTCGAGGAACGACGCAGAGGCAGTCTGATATATGATCCCACATCGAGCATCTCACAGGTACAAAAATATGGTCTTTTTCTCTCTGTACATATATACATATATATATATTAGGTCTCTTACACTTATTTACATTTATTGCATTGAGTGACTCATGCTTTACCGGGAAATATTGAATCGTGGATTTGCCCCGGAAACGAACGTGACTTGCATCGTACTTATATTAAGATCTTACGTCCGCGCGTTAATTGAAGCGCGCGCATTTCTATCTATCGCCCTATTTATTTTTTATTCAACAAAAAATCACGAAGAGTTATCGATCGGCTGAATCGAGCCCCTTGTTTTCCTCTCCGAGCGTTCCATTCCGCTTTCTTTTTTCACAACTGAATGCCATTATTAAATAATTGTACGCTCGCGATAAATTCGACTTGATTAGAGTCAACATTTAACTTGTCGGCGAGCAGACTCGCGCGCAAAGCGAAGAGCAATGGAAAGTAAAGCACAAGATAAGAGCGCTGAAAAGCCATTACGAATGACCCCTCGGCGATGGCGAGGAATCGAAGGTACGATCGAAATTGAAGGTAGGGAGCACCGGGAAGGGATATATACGTAGCGTAAAAGTAAAAGAATCCGCCAGGTTGCCGCGACTCACGATCGAGGGACACTTCTCTTTATTCTCGTTCTGCATACAGCTGAAAGCATTCTCCTCCATCAGTCGTCGCTCGCGAACGCGACGAGTATCGCACGACGCGTTATCGCGCCGCAGCACACCGCAATTGCACCAGGCGCGAGCATGTGTTCGCCATACTAATCGTTTCACTGATTTTTCGATAATTACGACGCGCCAAATCGGCTCTTCATAAGCGAAGTGAAAGTGAAAGACGGGTCTCGGATGTATCTTTAATACATTCTGGATCAGTTTGTCCACGCGCTCTCACGAGTTCGAGTTACAGGCTGAAAGTGTGTTAAATATCGCGCGTTAATATTAGGTAAGATTTGTGTGCTCATTTGTATGCGAGAATGATGACTAACTTCCTTCCTTTACCCTGTAATTACATTATAAAATTTGAAACTTTTGATAATTGCAACTAATGCTGTGTACAAAAATTTTCTCTTTCATAATTAATCGTTTTTGTGCAGAATGAAAGAACGCTTGTGTAGACACGTGCGCAATGGGAAACGCCACGTACATTTAAACACGATGATATACGTGGTATTCTATAGATCTGATTTAAGATTAATTAAATGATTAGTTAGTCAATATTTTATAGGAAATATCAAGCACGCCGCGTCGGCTGTGCTTTGCCACGCTTTGCCGTTACTATCTCTTTGCAAATCAATTACAGCTAATGATCTTTCTCTGGCGCTACTGTCTAATTAATTTAATCGCACGATCGATTTAAAATTCTAATAATACCATAAACGTGGATAAGTTATGAACGCCGCAGGTGAATTATAAAGAGAATTTATAATATTGTATGAAATTTTCGTAGGGATCATTTCCTTTTTGCACTAGTCATATTTCGTAAAAAATAGAGAGTGTTTCGACGAAATGGCAGCCAGAATAGTCCTGCTTTTACCTTTAGTGAAAACACGATTTGCATATTCAACTGGAAACAGTAATCCAGTGGGCGAAAGTGACGACCGGGCCAAACTCGTTCGACTTTCCAAATAAATTTCGTCGACGTTCTTCACGCGTCGGCGTAACAATCGCTATTTTACAATGTTTCGCCTAATCTTGCTGTAACAATTATAATTCGATTCAATTCAACTTTTATTTTACAATTGTCTTTTTCTTTCGCTTGCAAATCACGACACGTTTACAATCGCTAGACTATATTTGTTAAAAAAAAATGCATTGCATCGCGTATGTGTGCGTTAATTATTTGTTGCAACGCAAGATTAGAGGCATTAATTCGCTTATTTCGTTCCTTTACAAATTTCGATTACGCGGTTGCCTTTTACGCATCATCGTTCACCTATCAACGTGCATGTATCTCGCTACTTAATCCAGGACACGCGGAGCACTTTCTATGGACGGATGACTCAACTGAATAAGAGTTCGTTATTCTCTTTTCGTTCAAACAGGTAGCGTACACGAAAACGTGATCGTGATTCAATTTACGATTAAGCCTCGGATCTTCTTTTTTAATTTGTAAAGAGTTCA